GCAGGCTCGGGGAACGAGATTGTCTTTTAGTACGCTTGTAGCCTTGTACTAGGATCATAATCTGATATATTAAAGTATCAAGAATTTTAATTTACATTTATCAGTAAATACCTGAGCATTAATGGCTGCATCTACCGTTCCTCCTTTGCCTAAAAGATTGTCATTATATCAGGGTTTTCATTTTAGGCCAGAATTTGACCTTTTAGTCAAGCGACACCCAAATTCTCCTTCAGGAGCTTTACACTTTGCTGTGTGTTTCAAACAACAACCGCAACAATTTTGGTGAACATTAAACCATGAAAATGCTACAGATATTATTTTAAAATAAAATTGTGTATGCGATCTGCGAACATGCGACACTTTAACAGGGTTCGTAGTCTCCAAGACCAAAAATATTCAAAGACTTTCAAAGATTTTTTCTGCCTATTTTCAAAGACTTTTCAAAGACCTTTGAGAGCAATCAGCTGTCGAAAAATTGCGAGTGTATAAGCACCATTTTTGCCCAGTAATTAGTCCCGCCACATCACATCTAAAAATGTACCTTTTCGTCGATATTTGCGAAAACCTTGCTTGTTCTTCAATCAATCTATTTTATTAGCTAGGAAATTGTATAATCAAATACTCACTAAAGAATTAATTTTAAATTAAGACTTTTAAAGACTTTCTTCACTTTTTCACACAATTCAAAGACTTTTCAAAGACCGGCTGCATTCAAATTTAAAGACTTTCAAGGATTTCAAAGACCGCTACGAACCCTGTTTAATATCTACTAAACAATGGGTCATTCCAGAAACTCTCCATACCTTTCCCACAGAGGAATTGAAGTTAACACCCCTCCCCCGTTTGTATGTCCTAATACACTTCCTATTATCAAAAACAAAAATTTTCCTTGCCTCCGAGGAGTGCGGATCTTTTCTGGAATGACCCAATGGACATATAAATGATGATTTTGTCAAAAAAAATTCCAGCTACTTGTCCTGGGTTCCACCATTAGATAAGCTTTTTCATTCATTAGTTAGCCAGAGCTTGTCAGAAAACTGAAAACCCTGTTATATTACATTTGTTGGAATAAGGTTGTTAAATTTGGGGTTTTTATTATACGGAGTAGTTGAGGCAAATAAAAAAATTGAGACGTATAGTGCTGCTATAATATCTTACTCATAAATTCTTCCATTGTCATTTCTTTCACACTCTTTGGAATAAAATAAAAGAAACATATTCTTAGCAAAAAATCACAGGTAATGATGAGTAATCACAGGTAATGATGAGTAATCACAGGTAATGATGAGTAATCACAGGTAATGATCTACTAGAGGTGTGCAAATCCGATCCGAATCCGATCGGATTCGTTCGGATTTCGGAACAAAAATATCAGGGGTTTTTTCAGGGATTTTTTAGGGCCGTTAAACGGCCCCAAAAACTCAATCTTGAATTGCGTTTTGAAACTCAATCTTCTCACCAAAGTTTCAGTGCAGTAAAATGAAGTCGTTTGAGTTAAATTCGTGACGTGTGGAAATTAGTTTTCAGATGAAAACCCGACAATTAAGAAAAAATGGCTGGAATTCATCTCACATCACAAGAAAAACTATGCATTCACCATCTTTAACCAGTTTATAGTATCCCTTAGTGCCCCTGCTTTAACACATTCCGTCTCAACTAAATTTATTGAGTACAGGTGTCAGCCCCCCGGTAGGGGGGGGGGGGGGGGGGGCGGCC